TGAGTGAATCATCGCTGTACTCAAAAATATGGTGTGCATATTGTTGATTCAATTATGTTCATCAAACAGTGAACAAATACTTTGTCGGTTATTACACTATATACACAGGTTATATATAAGTATCTGCATGTTTTGTTCACCATAACGAACCACTAAGTTGCTATTATGAGTCAAAAAGTAACGAGGAGTGACCGCCGTGTGCCAGCCAGCCACTCACTCCCTCCCTCAACACCTCACTCGCCCACATTCTCCTCCCACAATACTGTTTTTGCTTTTATTCACTATATACAAACGTTATATATAAGTATCTACATTTGTGTTCACCCATAACGAACCACTAAGTTGGCATGCTGAGTGGCAGTGCCAGTGGCAGCCCGCCACAGGCTGCTACTTCCTCCCTCACCTCACCTCACCTGACTTGCCACCATTCTCCTCCCACTATACTGTTTTTGCTTTTATATACAGACGTTATATATAAGTATTTACATGTTTTGTTCACCATAACTGTACATCTAAGCTTGTATGGTGAGTAAAGGCACAAAGACGTAGCTACTCACACAGTCAGCTGATAGCTGCCACCCTCAAGGCCAGACACACTAATATTTCTCCTCCAACAATACTGTTTGTGGTGTTATTATGCTATATACAAACATTATATATAAATATCTACCTGTTTTATTCACCATACTTGTACAAGTAAACTGGTATGGTGCCCAAAAACCATCGTGGTCACCAGTACACAACATGATAAATCGTACAGATGACGCCACCGCCCTCACCAAAATGGCAGCTCCCAACCTACTCCTCTTGCTGTTTATACCCTCTATACACACGTTATATATAAGTATCTACATTTGTATTCACCATAGCGAACCACTAAGCTGGTATGGTGAGTGCAGTCAATAAAATGTGGCCACACATAGTCAGAAGACAACGCCACCACCCTTCCTCCCACAGCATTACTCCTCCCTCCATGGAGCACAGCGCTAAATATCACCACAATTCTGCTATTATCAGAACCCTGGTCAGTTTTATCACAGTCAGGGGGTCTTCTGTAATAATATCATCGCTACATAATAGCATGAACAAGTATATTATGGCATTTTTAGACGATGCTATGGTCACAAGCTGAACAGCAGTGCTGTGAGCTCATGCTGCGTGCGTCAGGCTTGGTAGCTCACTCAATACTGAGGCTCCTAACACCCAGGAATTTGGCCCACGATTTTTAAAAAAGATGGCGCCTGTTTACAAGAACCCTGATGAAGGTGTGGTGAACCCCGTGTATCCGTGGGCCGTTTAAATCTTGCGTAGTACTCCAAAGCATCATATGATGCAATGCGCAATTTTCTGCAAGTCTGTCAAAGCATCATATGATGCGATGCGCAATTTAAGGGTTAAGGTCCCAATTTTTGCCGTACCTGAGTACCTGGAATTTGTCACTGTTAAACATGATGTTATTTTCTGATGCCCAGTCGAAAACTTTATTAATATCAGCTTCTACCCCACCTCCTCAGTCTACTATTTGCCACTCACCTCCTCATCTACCATCTGCTACCCCACCTCCTCAGTCTACCATCAGCCACCCACCTCCTCAGCCTACCATCTGCCACCCCACCTCCTCAGTCTACCATCTACCACCCCACCTCCTCAGTCTACCATCATTCACCCACCTCCTCAATCTACCATCTGCCACCCACCTCCTCAGTCTACCACCAGCCACCCACCACCTCAGTCTACCATCTGCCACCCACCACCTCAGTCTACCACCAGCCACCCACCTCCTCAATCTACCTTCTGCCACCCACCTCCTCAGTCTACCACCAGCCACCCACCTCCTCAGTCTACCATCTGCCACCCACCTCCTCAGTCTACCATCTGCCACCTGCTCATTCTGCTGCCTGCATGCCCACCTACTATGCCCACTCTACCAACCATCTCACTACTGCCTGCCTATCCACCAACTTTGCCACCAGCCCTGCTACTCATCCATCCACTCACTCTCACCTGCCCACCCATTCGCCCTCCACGTGTTCTTCCTTTACATGATTCTAGGGCTGGTGTTTCTGAAAGATTTTCTTTCATGTCCCCCCACCACCTTCTTTCCCGATCCCTCCCCACCAGCCTCCCGTCCCACTCACCTGCCATCCATTCGCTCCCCCCCCCCCCACAATCTATCCATCCAATTTCCCCCACCATCCATACAGTCATTTGTCATGTTCACAGAAAATGGTACCATCCGTTTTCTATGTGTGGCGGAGCAGACGCCAGAGGGAAGGTAAACAGAGCGTACAGGACGCCCGCCAAGCTTGGAAGCTACTAGTCATGTAATTGTGTATATACGTATTAAAGTCAGTAACCAAGTCATGACTTTACATCAACCCTACAATCAAGACTTCCTCAGTAACACACAAACACCACACCATCCAGTTTCTCCCCACCATCCATCCATCCAGTTTCCCCACCATCCATCCATTCATCCATTTCCCCTCACCATTTATCCATCCAGTTCCTCCCAACACCCATCAGATGTTCTGATGGGTGCTCACTCATGGGTAACGCTTGGCGGATTTTTGGGTTTACTGTGGGAAGCACGCCAGGCTTTTTGACCTCATATGCATATATCCCTTTAGGGAATCCTGCTCAATCCGTAACCTGCTCAAAGTGTTAATGAGGATAAGTTCCAATTACTGTACTTCGCAATGAAAAAACAAATTATCACAGCAGAAACCACATAAAACAGCCAAACCACACTATTGAATGAAAAACCAAAGTAAAATATTTAGGAGTAATTATGTCAGAAAACCTTACTTTCAACTACTGGTCTGGGCTGGCTGAGAAAATTCTGTTGATGGGAACTGCACAAGTTGAGAAAACACCTTTTTAACCCTTAAACTGCGCAACGCGCCTGCAGGCTCACGTCTGGTTTGCGCAACGCGCCTCCGGGTATTTGTATTTTTCACGTTCCATTCAAAACTCCCGCGGCTACATGGGGTTCACATCAGCTTCCTCAGGGCTCTTGTAAACAGACGCCATCTTTAAAAAAAATCGTGGTCAACATTCCCGGGTGTGGGAGCCTCAGTAGTGTGTGAGCGACCAAGGACGCTAAGCCCCAGAAGCACCTCAAGGTAACCTCAAGGTAGGTGCAATGAGAGCGAAGCCGCGCTGTGTACCATGGACTGCTTCGTCAATAATCACTCACTTCCGAAGAACTGAATGTGTAATACAGTGTGTTACTGTGTAAATAGTGTGTGAAACTGTACATATTGTAATTTTAGTGAATCTTGAACAAGTGCGAATGCCTCTGAGAGCTTCACGCATGGGCGACCAGCCCATGATGCCCATTTCTCCACCTCTCTACAGCCAAAGTGGAATTTTTTTTTTTTCATGTACGTGTTCAGGGAAGGGAATTTATCATTTTACAATGAAATTTGCTAACACTTGATTTTATGCACACAGGGGGAATGTCACAATAAACTCGGCTCATCACTGATGTTAAAGAACATAACAATGTTGCTAAAAACACTGCAAGAAAAATGACAGGTTGGATAACAAGAACCTTCCACACAAGAGATGATAGGCCAGTGATAATACTTTTTAAGGCATTAGGGCTCTCTATATTGGAATACTGTTGCACACTAACAGTCCCATTCAAATCTGGAGAAATTGCTAGCCTGGAGAGCGGGCAAAATTTTGTTACCGCTAGAGTCCACTTAATAAAACATCTAAATTATTGGGGCCGCCTAAAATTTTTAAATCTGTATTCCCAAGAGCACAGGTGGAATACAGACATAATAATTTACAATTGGAAAAAATTGGAAGGACTAGTTTCAAATCTACACACACACAAATAACACTATACGCGTCCGGAAGGAATGGCAGGATGTCTAAAATAGTTCCACTGAAAAGCAGAGGTGCAATGGGGGCACAGAGAGAAAACTAAATCAACATCAAAGCCCAAGACTTTTCAACACTCTTACCCTACACATACGGAGCATAACGAACTGACCACTTGCAGCTTTCAAAGGAGAACTTGACAAGCACCTTGAAAGGATACCCGATCAACCAGGCTGTGACTCATACGTCAGGCTGCAAGCAGCCAAATCGAACAGCCTTATTGATCAGACCAACAACTACAAGACCTGGTTTGAGACCAGGCTGTGGGAACATTGATCTTCGGAATCATCAATAGGTAGAAACAGGTAGACACCCAACTTACCCTGTGTGAGGGCCACCACAAACAAGGAGAACCTCTAAGGTAGTGGCTCCCAAACACTCCATGGAAGATAACCCCAAGCAACGTAAGAGTAGCACTAGGGCGCAGATAGGGAAGGTAACCCTGTGTATATACACAGCTCCAAGCACACTCAAAACTTGGCTCACTCACACCACAGTGTACAGGAGACGCCACCACTTAGCTGAAAAAGCAGAACACCGGAGCCAGCACGGATGAGAAGCGACCTGGTACGAGCCAAGGAGAGAGGTAGAAGCGAGCTACTTCTTTCCTTCCTCCAAACTATTGGGGAAGGTAATGGGAACGTGATCGGGCTAGTTCCAAGAGAATTTGATCATTTTTTTACAGACACACAGAAATCACAATAGCATGATACATCATATAAACAAACCCAAAAGGGCCATGTGAGGGCAGTAGCACTCCCTGTTGCAATTCTTGTGACCATGTCGTGGCGCAGTCGACTAAGGCGCATCTGGGATCGTCCCGGACGTAGGATCGAACCTTCATCATGGCCTTTGAGGATTTGTTTATTTGTTTACATATTTGGGGAAGTTATTTAAGCAAGATTCGTGTCTTCGATCTCTTTTGAAACTAGCATTGGATTGTTTTGACTCTGATTTTCTGGTTGTTTTTCATGATGAACTGCCAAAAATAGATGTAACTGCTCCCTGTGCCTCTTTGAGTGGGCCAGGTTCTGGCACTGGTCCTCAAGGAATTTACACTAATGAATATGACCGACATAACATACAATGAACAATCCTACACTTACCTCTAATATTATTTTCCTCTAGAATTTGAAGATGCTTTTCTCTAATTTTTTTAGCGTGTTCGACGGATAAATTATATATCTTCGTGCAGATGCCCTCCACACTTTGCTTCGCAGCCTCGGTGAGATGTGGTTGGCACTGCCGCTGTGCATGAAATAAGTGTGTTAAAAAAGCATCAAAATAATAATTTTAGCTTTTTTTATGTACAATAGCCATTTTTAATTCTACACAAACTGCAATTCAGGTCGAAAGGTGACACGCACACACACCCACTCCTGACTCCCAATACTCTCAGCCACCAATAACAAAGGAAAGCAGCAGTCAAAAAATCCCAGAGAGAGAGGAAGATCAGTGGTGGGTAACCCTACCAAATGCCACTCAAGTTTAGCACAGCCCAGGAACATTAACCCTTAAGCTGTAAGGGGTCCTTAAGGCTTTTACACCCCCATGCACAAGAAAAAAAGTTCACCATTTTTTGTTATCTTCTATAAATGTTCATTTGTGTTTCCTGAGCATGGGAAAAATTAAAAAAACCAGCGTTGAATATAATGAAACGCCATTTTCTGGGTGAGACCCGGAGGCTCCCCGAAGCTTATCCAGGCTGATATGCTAATGTCAGACTTTGGCATCAGTCATGTTTATGGAGTTCTATGGCCTACCAGGTACCACGAGCCAGAACTTGGCCCCCTCAGAGAGGCAAGGGGAGCAATGGCCTATAGAAACCCCTGTGTAGTTGGAAGCATTCCGTGTCTGCCATCGACCGGGTCAGGCACCCAAAAAGGTAAGTGTCCCAAAACAAACCCCTATTCTGGTGAAAATTGTTACCACAAGCCGAACAGGTGGATAGAACTTCCCTAAAAGAAATGAGCAAACGATCATGACGTCACACGTCACTGCGCCGCTGTCTGCGTAGCTCCCTCCCCCAGCCCCAGACCTACCGCGCTGGCTATCCACCATCAGTCCTGAGGCTGGATGTCAAAAACGCAAAAAACCGCTGAACAGGGGAAGGGAGGGATGCCGGGGAGCTCCAGGTCTCACCCAGAAAATGGCATTTCATTACATTTGGTTTTCGCTGGTTTTCTGGGGGGAGCCCCGACGGCTCCCTGGAACTAACTACCCACAGAGGAAAAATGAGGGATGTACCCAGGAGACGTCGCCACACACTCCCCATCTCAAAGTAAAGGCAACTGGCTGCAACCGCCAACCCAAGGTGCGACAGGCCCAAATGGGCCTGGGAACGACATGAGACATCGAGCAGCCAGGCCCCTGTTCGACCGCCAAAAGCCCCGTGCCCGAATGTCAGCTAGGACATGCCGCCAAGACGGCAGCAAGAGCAGCGAATCCACGAACGCCACGGGCACGGGGAAGGAACACAGGTTGGCTAGCCGCAATAACACGGCAGACGACCCGGGAGACCTTAACCCGCTAACAGGGAAGAACGGAACTGGATCAACCCAAAGCGCGTCCCGGACACAGATGCCGTAGCGCTCAAATAGCAGCGGAGGGCCGCAACCGAACCCAAAACACGATGCACCCCCGGCCCAACCAACCAAGCACCAACAAACCAAGAACCCCTCCAGAAAGCAGCAGCCTCATCCAGTGCCAGAAAAAGAAGGAGACGGTTGCAATCGAACAAACCAATTGCCATGACCGAAGGAGCAGAAACCCCTGTGCCGGAGGAGAGCAAGAAGCTCAGCGACTCAACCCCAAGTGGCAAATGCCAACAGGAAAAGAGCTGTCAAGAAACAAACCCGAACCGAGGGAGTCACAACCAACCAAGGAGAAGAAAGAGCACGCTGTCCAGAGACCAGGACAGCTCAAGCAGCGCATGAGTAGGCCGGAGCAGAAACAACACACGAAACAGCTTACGAACGATGCAGATGTAACACCAAGACCGAAAGTAAGCCGAAGCGGCTCAGCCAGCACCACACGAAATGAGGCGACAGTATGTGGCAAGATGACGGACTCGAAACCCCCACCAGAAAAGCAAAGCCGACGCCAACAACGCAGTTACCTAAGAAGGGACAGAAGGAAAAGGAAGGACCGCCAAAATACCCCATACTGCCACCAAGAAGCAGCAAGCAGGTGGAACACCAACAATGAAGCTACCTGACCACCAATTGAAGGTAAGACACGCGAGGCAGAACCTACCCGGTCCCGTCAACGTACATCCGAGCCTAGGAAGAGGTGGAGCCACGGGAAGATCTCGGGCACGACCGCTGAGGAAGCAGAGTCAGAAACCCAAGCCAGCAAGGAAAGAGATGGAACATCTGCCAAATAGAAAAAATTCCCCAACGCGAGCAAGCTCGCCAGGAGATCGGAAACTACAGGCCCGACGCGAGACTCCAGAGAGGGAACACCGCGAGACCCTGAAAATGCCAACAGGCAAGGTAAGACAGGAAAACAGGAACCCAAACCTGGCAACAGGAAGGCCAAAAGACACAAACAAAACACACAAAGTGTAGGACAAAAGAAAGCAGAGGAACGAAGAAGGTAGGCAGCAAATGGGAACGAGGGGACAAGACCAACACCAAAAGCCGCTGGACTTGTCCCAACACGTCATTGGGAGACTGAAGATCCAAAGGGGACATGACCACCGCAAGCAAAATCCTCACAGGAAGCGACAGGGTAGAGAAATACAAGCTAAGGAACACATGGAGCACACGTAACGGGGGAAACATGTTGAACTGAATGCCCAAATGAGCCGTAGAAAATAGAGAAGAAGCATACTAGTGTCAGAGTAGGAGACAACAGGAATGCAAGAGGAAGGGATGTGGCAAAGGCCAAACCCACACCCAGCGTCAAGTGCAGATAAAAGAGCCTAGAAGGCGCAAGAACCTCTACAGAAGTCGAATGACAGGCGAGAGGCAGGACTAAGAGCCAAAGCTCATCCCCAGCAAGCACAACTAGGTGAGGACAACTAGGGGAGTACAGAGAATCCAATGTACATGGAAAAGCTAAGCCTGGTACAGCAAGACCGGCAAGGAATGAGGGACCCAAAAAAATCATGGGAACAAAGAACCCAAAGAAGGAAAGCCCCAGGAAGACGGACGAAAGGGCCGAACAAAACGCCACAACCATACCCCATCACGCAACCGCAGTATCAAAACTGCAGCAAAAACATCACCACATAACACCCTCGACACATTAACATGGACCACATATCAGGCACCTCCACATTTGCACATTGGAACATGGTGGGGGTGGGGCCCCACAACTCAATCATGGGTGGACATGCATAGGAGAGGGACCGGATGGGCATAGTCAGGAGCCACCTCGTATGGACCAAGAGGCCACCCGCAGTCACCTGTGTTCTGACGTTCGAATCGGGTGGTTAGAAACAAGAACTGCCACATATGGGCAAATAGGCCTGCTGCAGGCACACCTGTTTGTAGGTGCTATGTTCTCAAGTACGTATGTACTCCCATTCACACCCCCAAAAAACCAGCTTTGGATGTAATGAAACGCCATTTTTTGGGTGAGTTCCGGAGGCTCCCAGGAGCTTACCAGGCTGATATGCTAATGTCAGATTTTGGCATCAGTCATGTGTACGGAGTTCTTATGGGCCTACCGGGGACCATGAGCCAGAACCTGGCCCCCTCATAGAGGCAAGGGGAGCAATGGCCTATAGAAACCCCTGTGTGGTTGGAAGCGTTCTATGTCTGCCATCGACCGGGTTAGGCACCCAGAAAGGTAGGCGTCCCAAAACAAAACCCTATTCTGGTGAAAATTGCAACCAAAAGCCGAACGAGTGGATAGAACTCCCCAAACAAAAACGAGCAAACTAGTATGACGTCATTCGTCGTCGCGTCGCTGTCTGTGCAGCCCCCCCCTCCCCGGGAAGGGGAAGGGGGAGCCCCAGACCTACCGCGCCGGCGATCCACACCCCAGTTCTGAGGCTGGATGTCAAAAACACGGGAAAAAAACGCCGAACAGAGGGGAGGGAGGGAGGGATGCTGGGGAGCCTCCGGGACTCGCCCAGCAAATGGCGCTTCATTACATTCAACGTTGGTTTTCTGGGGGGAGGGGGGGAGCCCCTATGGCTCCCCGGAGCTAACTACTCACAGAGGAAAAGAATAGGGACTGACCATGAAGGTGGTCATGAAAGCGCCATTACATGGGTTGGACATGTATATGAGTGGGATTGGGTGGTTATAAATAGGAGCTGCCTCGTATAGGCCAATAGGCCTTCTGCAGTTGCCTTTGTTCTTATGTTCTTATGTTCTTATGGTCGCCTCACACTACTCACAACAGGCCGCATCCGCTGACTCAAAGCAAACACAGGCCCGACTGGGCCCAGGAACGTGTACAAGGTAACGAACAGCCAAGGAACTTGTTCGACCGCCAAAATCCCCATGCCCAAACGTCCTCCCAGGACACAGTACCAAAGACGACGGCAAGAGCCGCGAACTTGCGGACGTCATGGGCACAGAGATAGACCGCAGGCAGGAAAGCCTGAAGAACCCCGCGGACAACCTGGGAGACCCACACCCTCTAACAGGGGAGAGGAGAACCGGAGCAACCCAAATCGCGTCCATGGACCCTGAAGCTGTGGCGTGCCAACCACGGCGGAGAGCCGCAACAGGACAAAAACAAATGCACCCCCGGCCCAACCAACCAAGCATCAACAACCCAGGGACCCCTCTGAAAAGCAGCAGTCTCATTCTTCGCCAGAAAAGGCAGCAGACGACCAAACCGAACACCGCAAATGAAGGAGCAGAAAACCCCTACGTAGGAGGAGAGCATGAAGCTCACCTACCCGACCCCCAGAGGCCAATGCCAACTGGAAAAGAGCTATCGAAAAACAAACCGGAACTGAAGGGGCCACAAGAAAACGAGAAGAAAAAAAAGATCACTGTCCAATGACCAGGACGGCTCAAGCGGCGCAAGAACAGGCCGGAGACAGCTTACGAACAGCGCAGATGAAAGTCCAAAAGCAAGCCGAAGCGGCTCCGCCAGCGCTGCAGAAAACGAGGCGACAGTATGCGGCAAGTCAACGGCCCCCAACCCCCAGCAGAAAAGTCAAGCCGACGCCAACAAACGCAGCCACCTAAGAAGGGACAGAAGGAAAAGGAAGGACCGCCAAAACACCCAATACTGCCGCCAAGAAGCACACAGGTGCTTCACCAACAACGAAGCCACCT